TTTTTTTTTTTTGTTTTTATTTTTTAGATCCTTTTTTGTTATTTTTTTTTTTTTTTTTTTTTTTTTTTTTTTTTTTTTTTTTTTTTTTTTTTTAATTATATAACTAGCTTCTTAGTTTGTATTGTGATGCTACCATTTATATCTGTATCATTTGATGGTGCCTTCGATTTCGATGGTGTGGTTGTTTTTTGGTGCTGTGTATTATTGTTTCTTGGTGTTTTGCCACTGCTTTGCTGTCCTTGTGGGTGGTCTTGTTTGTTTTCTCTGCATTTTTGGCGTTCGTACAGGGGTCTTGTCGTTTCTCTGGCATTCATATGGGGTGGTCTTACTTGTTTCGAGCAGGGTTGTCTCACTTGTTTTATTAATATGATAAGTAGTTTTTTTTTTTTTTTGGTTTTTATTCTTGTGTTTGCTAATTTTTTTTTTTTGGTTTTAGGTTTCGCCTAGACGTGGAATCACTCTTGGTAAGTTTTTTTTTTACTTGTTTTCTTTAGTTTCTTTTTTTTTTTTTTTTTTTATATATATAACCAGCTTCTTGTTTTGTATTGTGATGCCATCGTTTGTATCTGTGTTGTTTGATAGTGCTTTCGATTTCGATGGTGTGGTCATTTTTTTGGTATAGTGTTTTAGCGTTTCTTGGTGTTTTGCCGCTGCTTCGGGTGTGCTATGTATCGTCGTTTCTTGGTGTTGTGCGTTGCACCGTATATAGTTGTTTCTTTGTATTTTGTTATTGCTTTGATACCGTCGTTTCTTGGTTGCTTCGGGATTAGAGTTAGGGTTCGGGTTCGTGTTAAGGTGCAGATGTTTGTCCTTTGCGTGTTTTTTTTTTTTAGTTTTAGTGCGATTTGTTTTTTGTTTTTTTTTTAAGGATGTTTGTCACTTTGTTTAGTTGTAATACAATTAATTTGTCATTGTATTCTTTTTTTTTTTTTTTTTTTTAATAATAAAAAAATAAAATTTTTTTATAAAATTTCAATTGATGCTGATTGGCCGATTACAAACGATTGATCACGTGTTCACGTGATCGGTTTTGATTGGTCGATCACAGGGATGCATAACCGTGCAGATGCTCGGAATTCTTAAACCCTTATTTATTTATAGTTGTTGAAAAATAGTAATCTTTGCCACTATCAAATAAGTGAATTAATGCAAATGAGGTATTATATCACCGAAGGAAATCTAGTTTAATATTTTTGTAATTAGTATGTGATACCATATTTTTGTATGTTCTGTGTACCATTTCTTTGACTCCAACAGATGTATTCACAAGAGTTGCAAATGTATGAGCATGTTGTGACAAATAGACATTTACATGAACATTAGGTAAGTTTTCAAATATGTCTGAAAAAATCTTCAAAAAACTAATTCATTCTTTTTCAAACAAACTGTGAAGCTTCTTATAAGTGTCATTTGTTATTGTTATTGAGAAAGCCAACTTAAGTAGTTTTGCTTCAACTACCCAAAGTTCTATTAGTTTAATAATAGTATGATTATTACGAGTAAGCTTATATATATTTTTTAAATGTTCAATTATTTTAGCTTTTAAATGTGAAGATGATAAAAAGTAATATAGAATAAATAGTATTAACATTGCCAGGCGTAAAGTATCTGAAAATATAAAACTATGATGATGAGTTAGCAAATTTGGCATCTGTGACTATCTTGCTAGTTTTTTGATACTTTTCCAACACTTAAGCCAAGCTACTTCTCTATTAGTAT